TCGAAAAACACAACACTTTTAAACTTTTAAAATCCTACTACACTAAAAGCCTAACCTTCTTCTGATAAATGTTTGCTTTTGATGTCGTTTGAGGCAAATCATCACGTCGGGACCGTTTACGCACCACATTGTTGTAAATAATCCACTTCTCATCACCAGTTATCAATCGCTTCAAAAAAGGATCGTTTTCCTTACATTTAAGGAACATATCGCATATATTTATACGCGCCGTCAAATGAACTTCTTTGAGTTCAAGAGGAACCCAAATATCGAGCTTTTTTACGTATCCCAGCTTCTTGAGATTATGAACGCTTGAATGATGGATGTTCAATGTTTTTTGCATAATGGATGTTTCGTGTCGTGTAACGTGAGTTTGAGTTCCCTATCCGAGGAACGTCGTTGAGGTCAAAATCACCAACACGGAATTTCGTGAACCATCGCTGGCACGTGACGTTCTTGTAGAGCATTGTAACTTTACGCAATTTTTCACAAGTTTGACGCGCGTTCTTTCCCTTTACGGAAGTAAAACAATAATATATGATGAAAATGCATAGTTTGGTCTTCCATTTTCAAATTGTTATAAAATCTGCAAAACTCAACCAAATTGCTCAATTTTTTTTTTTTTAGAATGAAGCTAGAATTGTCAGCTGTCAAATGATATAGCAATAATATAGATACGAATGACTCTAGTACTTCCAAAAATGAACTAGCGCCATCTGTTACAAAAATGCGTCATGACTTTTCCGACAACGCAATAATATAATGAAAAATAATTGCAGCGACTAAAACACTTAATGAAAAGAATAAATTTCTTGTACAAAACACAAAAACAAAATGAAAACTGATTGACGCAATAGGAACCGTTGCCAAAACATTATTCGGAACAATGAATAATGATGACAGAAAATTAATTAACGAACAATTAAATATTCTACATAACAAACAGCAAATGACAGAACACATAATAAAAAAATCATTAAAATTATAAATATCATAATAGCGCACATAAACAATTAAGAGAAAATAATCCAAAACAACGAAAACGTCCTAGTTAATACAATCAAAAAATTAGAAACTACGATAACAACAGAAATAAGTCGCGAGAATATCAAAGAATATTTTATAACTATAAATGTCCTCGACGAATTGACACAACACGCAGAAAATACATTAGACTATCTAACTTATTTAAGAACTTAAGATTAAGAATGGAATATTACACTCACTAATACCACTAAAGGAAATACTAGAGAATTTCAAAGAGGCAACAACGCAAATATCTCAAGGTCTATATTTTTTATTTAAAATAAAAGAAAAAGAAGAAAACTGGACTACGAAAGAAAGTAACGAGCACACACTGCGAGAACATAGATGTCTACACAATCCTACATTTCCCATTAATTTCACTTCCAATATATGAAATTAAACATTATACCGTTACCAGTATCATATAAGCAAAACATGTCCGCATTAATAGAAATCAATAACTCATTAATAGCCCTAGACATAGACAGACACACGTACGTAAGAGTGACTCAAGAAAAATTAAGACAATGTAGTAAAGAAGTAAATTCAAATTATTTGTGCGAGCAAAGTTTTCCGATTAAGAACGTTAAAACCAACCCATTATGCGAAATATATTATATATATATATATATATATATATATATACGTATAA